TTGGTTTTCTCTGCTCTAGTTATTCCAAGAGCCGTAGCTGGAAAGGGCTGAAGGAACTTCCAGATGGGAGCTGAGGACTCCCCAAAGACTGGCAGGGTGATGAAAATCATATTGTTAGGAAATGGGGCTAAGCGGTGCCCTGGCTGATGCGTATTCTTGCCTGAGTGATGACTTGCAATTGGCTTTTCAATGGCTGGGTGAAAAGCCCTGAGGTTTAATTGTGGCATCCAGCAAATTGTATGTTGTGGCTCACGTCACTGAACGCATCCAGTGCGCACTGTGAGCAAGCAATGCCAGTCAGAGTGGGTCCTTTACGCACGGGGGACACATGGAAGCAGGGTTCAACCACCAGGATTCTTCGCATGGGATTGAATCAACGGGGGAAATAACTCAAGAGATGGGTTTGCTTGCATTGGGCGCGTCAGGTAAACAGCAGCCCCAGGCGTCTGGCGGCTAGTCAGTGCCAACAGACTCGACACACGCAGTCCTACCTTAAGTGTCTCTGCGCTGCATTGCCCTGGGATTTCCCGCGGGGGGAATGAAGGGAGCAGAGACCTGCTCCTTTGGGCGACAGTCTGCAGGGGCCGGGCGCTGCCGGGGAGGGAGCCCATCGACCCCTCTGCCCATTTCTGCCTTCTCCCAGCTCAGCTAGGCCTGCTCTCCATGGCACCACCCAGGAATCTCTGGGGACTTTCCCATGGTAATTAATGTGGGTTCATTCAGTGTTAATCCACTTCATAACCTTGATCGCCCAGGCCTGGGGAGATGGGCTCTTACAGCACCATGCTAACATGGGAGGAATATGCCCCAAGATCCACGGGATTTCCCCAGGACCCCACAGCATCCATCCAAGGGGTCCCCGGCCAGTGGTCAAACCCCCCTCGCTGCATGACGCAGGCCTACCTATGCAGTTGTAATGCTCTGTTCCTGCCCCAGCACCCCAAGTTCTAACCCTCCGGGAGCTCTCGCAGGGTGGAGCAGGGCTGGCCTCTGTGACAAGGAGCAGTCACAGATGATCGGAGACTCCCTGTTCCAAGAGTTCTGTTAGGAGGGTTCCCTGCTCCCACCAATGGACTAAGGACACACAGAAACCCTGGCGCTGTGCGCAGCACCGCCTGCTCCCTGCCGCACACACAGGGACTTGCAGAGTTAGGCCAAGGGCCTACCTGAGGAGTGAGCATTGACCCCAGAGAGCCTTCGAGTTCTCTGCCTGTGCGCCCCTCTGCAGCCAGGCTCCTCCCAGAAAGGAAGTTGGATTTTATTTCTAGCTTGGCAACTGTGGCTACATCTACACGACAGAGTTTTTCCGGAAAAGACATGAATTACGTCCACACTGCAGTTGTGCTCTTTTGAAAGAAAATCGAAAGAACAGAGGGGTTTTTCCGACATTGGTAAAACTCGTGCTACGAGGAAGAAGCCTTTTGTGAGAGCTCTTTCGGAAGAAGGCGTGTGTGGAGGAGGAAGAGGGAGTTCTTTTGGAAGAAGAGGAAAGAGGAAAAAACACAGGTGCCCTGGTGGCCACTCGGTCCATAGCAATCACAGCTGACATGCGAGAGAGCGTCCAGTCAGTCTCTTTCAGAAGACGTTTTTTGGAAGATCTCTTCTGGAAAAAGCGTCTTCCGAAAGAATCCTGCAGCCTAGACGTAGCCTAACTGATCAGCTTGTCCCGAGCCCTGCTTCATACGTGCAAGCACAGACACAACGGAAATGCAGAGGCCGGGTGCTGTACAAACTGGTCCAAACACCCATGGTCACAAAGGCAAGAACAAACCCTTGCGGAGGACGTGTATGGGCCAGAACACCATCACCCTCACCCTTTTGTAATTTTCCCAGCAAAACTGTGTGGGCACCGCCCGTCCAGACCAGGCACATGGTGATAAATGAAATCATCAGCTCAGTCTTCTCTTCTACCTGTGTGTAAATTAAGGTTACCACAGCTGAACTCTCAGGCTGTGTCCAGACTCAGGGGTTTTTTCAAAAAAAGTAGCCTTTTTTCGAAAAAACCTCACCTGCGTCTAGACTGCAGCCGCGTTCTTTCGAAATTAAATCGAAAGAACGCGGCTTTTCTTTTGATGGGGGTAAACCTCAATTTACGAGGAAGAACGCCTTCTTTCGAAAGTTCCTCTTTCGAAAGAAGGCTTTCTTGAATGTAAATAGGGCTTCTTCGAAAGAGAGCATCCAGACTCACTGGATGCTTTCTTTCGAAAAAGCAAGCCGCTTTTTCGAAAGTTCAACGTGCAGTCTAGACGCTCTCTTTCGAAAGAGGCTTGCAGTCTAGACATAGCCTCAGAAAAGAGGGCATGGCAGAGAGGGAGTGTTCCTGTATCGGTATCTACCCACTCGCGTTGATAACACACGAAAACAACGTGAGTGGGTAGATATCGATACAGGCCCACGCCCTCTCAGCCGTGTCCTCTTTTCTGAGAGTCTAAATATGGTAACCCCACGTAAACAAAAGCCGGAAAGTCTCCAGACATGACAACGCCTCCAGCCTTTGGATTAGAATAAGAGTGAACCAGCCCCTTGGGGCAAAACGAAGCCACCTAGGAATACAGGGACCCTTCTCCTCTAGGCCTCAGGGAGAACCCTGCTCTCCGAAAAAGCCCAGGCTGACGGTTATGCCCTATCCCAGAGATCCCATCCGACAGGAGCTCGCGTCACTGGGAATGCAGCAATGGATTTGGCCTGCAATATCGCACAGAGCACTCCCGCCACCCACACCGAGACCCCAGCACTCCCTCTGCTCCCGCCGCCCACAGCCCGGCTCCCCCTCTGCTCCCACCGCCCACACCCCGGCTCTCCCTCTGCTCCTGCCGCCCACACCCTGGCTCCCCCTCTGGCCCCACACCCAAACCCCTGATCTCTCTCCGCTCCCACCGCCCACACCGAGACCCTGGGTCTTATCGGTTCTTCCACCCACCCCCGGCTCCCTTCTGCCCCCACACTGAGACCCCGGCTCCCCCTCTGCTCCCGCCGCCCACACCGAGACCCCGGCTCCTATCTGTTCTGCCACCCACCCCCTGCTCCCCCTCTGCTCCTCAACAGGATTGTTCCCAGCAGCGATGGGAAACCTGGCCACCAGAGTCCTGCCCACGGTGCCTCTGCTCCCCCTGGGCCTAGACCGGCCTCTGGGCGAGAACGAGCCTGGAGCCACGAGGGCCTGCTGCCCTCAGCTCTCCCCTGCCATACAGCCCCGCAGCCGCGAGCTAGAGCTGCCCCCTGCAGCTTTCATTGGCTGAGACTCCCGGCCAGCCTGGCCCAGGGCAAATCGAGCCCATAAAGCTCAGACGTGCTCGGGGCGACCATGAGCCTGCTCCTCCTCGCAGGGCCACGTCGGCCTGGGAGGGGGACTAGGCCCTTCCTCTCTTCCAGAATATCGGCCCCCGGGGGGTCTGTTCCCTCCTCCTCACGGCCAGGGGTGTGTCACCCCACCCAGCAGGATCTAAGCCCCTCCCAAGCCAAACCGACAGCAAAGCGCCCCTCCGCCCCTCCGCCCCGCCCTCCGGTGGGTTTCCCCCTTTTCAGGAGTTTGGGGCAAAGTGATTTGCTTTGTTCTGTTGTCCTGGGTGATGGGCTTGTATTGAGCCCTAATTTCTTGCACCTCTTTTGGAAGCTGCACGCCTGGACAACACAAAGTGAGACTCTTTCTTGCCTTGCGTGCTGGTCATCGGGGATGCGGTGACATCCAATACAATTAAGAGAATCTGATGTCTCAAAAGGGCTCCCCCATGAGCCGACCCCAGGCTGACACAATACTGAAGTCTCACTTATCATGGCTTACGCGGAACTGAAGCAGGGCACTGGTTTTGTGCCGACCCTCTAGGCGCCCTACAGCCAGAGGGCTTCGTCTCTCTAGGTATTATCCAGTGCTCACCATCAGGCTGTCTGTTAACTTTTACAAACATTAGCAAACCAAGAGAGGGTTCCCAATAATCAGCATTCCCCATCTACCTCCGCAGAGCTAGGCAGACCAAGGTGAGGTGACTTGCCCAGGGCCATGCAGTCAGTAGTAGCGCTGAGGAAAATCCATGTTTCCTAATCCCCGTTCCTGTGCTTTAGCCACACGCCTGGGCACACAGCAGAGACTGCTGTTTGTAAGCAAATTACAGGCAGACAAAAGAAAGCCAGTATTAATGAAAAGAAGCTTTGCAGCCTAAATTGTTTGTCTTTGCATACATATAGGGGGCCGGATCCTGTTTTCCCTATTGAAGCCAAGGGCAAAACTTCCATTGTTTTCAGCATGAGCAGGCCCAGGCACGCAGGGTCACACTTCACATGTGGAACTTGTGAGGAAGCTCTGTGCCACCACTGAGGGCAGAGAATGGCTCACGAGATTAAAACCGTGATTAATATTAAGTGTTTTACTCACAGAGAACCCAGCCGTTACCCCCCTCAGCAGCCCCATTGCCTTCGCTCGAGCCATTGATATCCTGCAAGCAAACAGACCTTGCATGACACTGCAAGCTAAAGAAACTGGTTCAATGCCCTACTCACAGGAGTCAGGTTTACCGGCTCGGGCTCCAACTTGGGGAGCTGCGCTGGAGTACAATGGCTCTCGCCAGGGAGTGGTTTCCTAGGCCGACGATTGCCATTACCGAACGAGCCACTAACCCCCGAGGGACGCACAGCTCAGAGTGCACATCAGCACGGCTCTCTAAAACGAGCCCCAATAGGTGCTCGATGCAAGCCCATCTGGATGTGCAAGCCAGCACAGACGACAGTGTCTGCAAAGCTCGCTGCAGGATTATTGCCACTCTGAAAAGCAAATGTTTGCTCACATGCAGAGAGGCAAATGCAAGACTCATGATGCCCCCACAAAAACAACCTCTGAGAATTTCTGGAAAAAAATCAGTAGATGAACATCCCCCAAAGGAACGTGTTACTAAGAGAAGTTAAAAGCCCTAGACTTGTGTTGGGCCCCACCAATCCCTCTAGCTCCAGCATGGGGTGGAGGGCACAGCAACATGTGTGCTAAGACCGCTGAATTAACGACTGATTACCGCAGCTCACTCGCGCTACAGAAATGCACGTGGAAGAGCTGGAGTATTTGTGGCGGAGGCGCCAGGCATCAGAATGTACTTCACTGGAATCAAGTTCCAAAGTGGAAATCAAAATAGTTTCCCTTCTGTGTCTTCATTCCTGTCTCTCTGTTGCTGCTCACTATAATTCCATAATTTCCTTATTTTGATTTGCTAAGAAACCAGATTCTCGGTGTGGTGGAGGGTGTGTTGCTCGCTACACACGATACCAAAAGAAAACTCCAGTGAACAGAAATAGCCCATAAAAGGGGCTGAAACTGCGACACCCTGAAGAAAGGGCTGAATCAGAAAATCAGCTCAGTTATGCTGCCCCGGGGAGCGGCAGGAAAAGAAGGTACCAAACGGTCGAACATGGTAGCTGTAGGCAAGCCCATCAGGTCAGCAGAAGGGGTCCCGCAACTGCTTGTGGGCGGATGTTAATGAGACCTAGAACCTCTCTCAGTGATGAATTGCGGCAGGTACAAAGCTGCAGCCTCAGGGTGAGTCCTGCAAAGGTCTCCGTGCCCTCAGCTCCCACTCACTCCTATGTTTCTCACTGACACACTTTTGGTAATTCAACGATATGCTATTGCAGATCACAACTTCCTCCTCATTGCTGGCTGCCACTGACAAGAATCATATTTTGCCCCTGATCTTCAGAAATAGCAGGGAGCGCATTTGTACTCGGGCTGCAAGAAGAGAGAAACAAGGCAAGTTTTGTTTCTGTCAGCCTGAGAAAGTAATTAGCAATTTCTAGATCTGGTAAGAAAAGCTTTAAAATAATATTATTGTTCCTAGCTGTAGACTCTGATTTGCATATTTACTATCCTGACTACAAATGTGACAACCTCGAAGACATTAGCAAATATATGACATAAGGATTTTCTTAACAATAGCAAAGCCTAATTATACTAAACAACACACGTTATTTGCAAACTTCCTAGCTGAAGTCAGTTACGAGCCGGATTTGTATAGGACTTCCATTAGCGCTGAGAGAACGTGTATTGTTAGAAATAATACACTGATTACAGTAAAATGAAGAGCCAAATTCTGCCCTTTGACACACACCAATGGCTCCAGCTGACGTCTACGGGAGTTCCATGCATGCAATTTCATCTCAAAGAATGTCTAGCGAGGGGGAAGTGTGTGTTTCAAAAACAAAGTAAATAACTGTGATGATGAGAATATGTTCTTCATAAATGTGTTAGTCTCTGATAGAAATGCCAGAGCCTAAAGCATTATAAAGTCCCTAAGAACCAAGGTATTCTGTTTTGCTTCCCTGATATTAAAGAGCTTCATCCACTTTCTTAACTTATTTTTACCACGTTCTGTGCTCAGATCACTGTACAATTTCAAGAATGAATCACACTAACAAAGTAACAATCTGGGAATAATTATATTAACAATTTTCTGTAATACAGCTTTGCAAATGTCTACTCACTCACTTGCCCGTGGCAAGTAGCTATTTTTGATGGGTAAGCCACATACTCTGTTTTTTCAATCATGATAAAAGGCAGGCACGTAGGTTTTGAGTGGAAGTTAGTAAATTTCCACTACAATTTTGCAAGGCTGCTATAATACGTCCTTAGCTCTTTGGAAAATAATCCTATCTCTTGAAAAGATATTGCAAGTATCATACTGTACATGCTACATTTTATTATAAGATGGGTTATTTCTACAGATCCTCTGTTAGACTGCATAACTTGCTATAAATAATACCTTCTAATTATAAAGTATTTTGCAAGTGCAGTAAATGTCCCATAAAAACAATGGCAAATGTATATTTTCTTTGTATCTGTTTGTATAACGAAAAAATATTTTTCTAAATACATGCAGTAGCAAATGGTGTTTAGTTTGCAAATCTATTTTGAAAACATTTGTTCATTTCTTCCAGAGAGTAAACATCCTTGTTCCTCCAACACCAGCATTTTCACAATCATGAATTACCTTTATTTGTCATAACACCTTCAGATGCCAAGGTCCCAGCCAAATCTCCTTAATTGTGTTAGTCAGATCAATGGGGCAAGGTGCAACGCTCTAAGCAATTTCAGACATATCAAAAACAAAAACCAAACAAACCAAAAACCACCAAACACCCTCTATTTCGTTTGAGAAGTATCAGTCTAGCCAAAATAATTCCAGAGACTCAAAAACAAATGCAGGTTAAACAAAAAACACGATCAAATATCTGCCTCAAAAGAATCCTGAATTTAAAGAAAAAAATCTAGAAATTAGCCAACAATTTGCTTTAATAAGGCAAGTAGGATTTTGCCGATTAGTACGCAGAATACAAACACTACAAAGAATTTTATTTAAAACCAAAGTCAGCTAGTTCTCACCTAAAATGATCTGCCCTCTTATCTCCTCTGTTTTGCTCCTTCATCTCATAGACTTAGCACAGCCACTATCAGCAGATACCTTACCTTTAATTTCCAACTATCGGGCTAGTTTTACCCAATTTCTCACCGAGAAAAACACAAACGAACCCTCCCCCCCCATTTCCCAAACGTTACCAATGTTGCTGCAATGCCGGTTGTTGGGAACCAACTTCTACACGGGTCACGGTTACATTTTTTAAATGTCTTAATTCAGAGACCACTGCCAGCTTTCCAGGAGATTCCCATACTATAATTGTTTTTTCAAAATGCATTTTAATTAATAGATTTTGACGTCTGATCCCAGCACTGTAGAGTTTCAAGGTCCTGTCCTACAAATAGATTTTATCACAGTTAGTTGCCTGCTGATTATATTTCAAGTCAGCTACAGAGGTAGAGTCATTACTGCTCTCCGTTACACCAGTATAAATCCTGAGCAACTTCACTAACTTCAGAATTTGGCCTCTAGCTAACTCGGATGTCAGGTTTACCCAATGCATAACTAACCTTTTCCTCTGTGTCAGAAAAAGAAGCACACGTGTAGTCTATTTCATAGCAAACAAGAGGAGTCAAACTTTGCTTTGAGAATGTAGCAGGACAAGAAAGCCTTTATACCTCACCACACCATCCCAGAGAGTAATACATGGTTTGTTTTCCTTTACTGGAAATCACTACATAATTCATTGCTTTTATTTTATCCTATTTGATAAACAGCATGATCTATCAAATCAGAGGAGGAAGATGTAAGGATACAAAACAGCTTATTCTGCAGACACCTTTTTGGGGGTTAGTGTAACTACCGAATGGAAGCCACCGTAACAAGCTTTTTATTGTCATTCCTAAGGGGTAAAAAAACCCAACCTACTTGTGACTTGATTTCCTCTATACGATGCTCTAATTCAGCCCACACAGCACAAAAATCACTAATAAAATTGTGAACCATCTCCGAGAGCTGGGCAGATATTTACAAGCCTGCAAAATGACCATGAAAACTTAACAGCACAAGATTTTGAGGCGCAAAATCTCCTTGCCTGCCCTTTAGAATGATAATGAAAAAGAATATTTTACTAGCTCCCGAAATCCCTTCCTCTGGCAAATCAGCAGACGAGAGTGTGTGTGTGTGTGCGTGCGCGCGCGTGTGTGTGGGGTACAGATGCATATTTCACACACATTACACAGAGAGAGTCCATTTATATATATATAAAAATATTTCACTGCACCTACTGAGGGCCCAATCCTCACTCCTTGTGTATTCACAATTCCTGCCACATACACGGTAGGTGTGCCGGGAATGCAGGGGTAAGCTCAATTAATATACCGGATACTTCACATTCAAACAGAAGGAAAATATTAAGTACAATAATGTGCTTCACCTTGTTATAACACAAGGTATGGTAAGCAATGAAAAGCAAACACTTTCTAGACAAAAATTCATAAAACCATATCTTGTAACGAAAACTACTCTTCACTTAAAATTTGAATCACAATTATAGAATGTAAAAAATATCTTTTTCTCCTGGACATTTCTCCTCTGCTATCTTTATAAATCACTGAAGTATTTAATTATTACTAACTATCTCTTTATATGTCAAGTTCCCATGGCAGCAAGCATTTTAAGCTTCATAAATCTTTATATGCTGATTGATGTGGAGATGAATATGGACAGGTTACACAGCTGGAATGGAAATAAACCAATAACAGAATTAGTCTGAGAAAACACAATAGGATTTCTATTTTTTGCCATGGCTGTGCTACATTATTTATTGTTGAAATAATGTCATATATATTTTGACCTGCTTCAAATTTGGGGCAAAAAACTCTCAAATGATTTCTTAATTTATATCAACAATATACTCTGAAGAATAATATTTTCACAGTGGATAGTCCATTATATTGGTTATTCTTCTGTATGTAATTTCTAAGGTTTAAATGGTTAATTATCAAATACTCCTCATCGCACATAACCCAAACCCACATTACATAAAGATCTTCTTTCCCATTTTCTGCCTCGGTTTAGTATAATTACTATGTTGTTGTTATTAATTTAAGGCTCAACAAAAGTTTCGATGATATTTTAAAAGACAGAATTATCCCCTCTTATTTGTAAAGCCGGTTGAACATTTCCTACAAAATATCCTGTGGACCAAAACATAGTCTCCTCCTTGGCTGCACAGGCACCGGCCCAGGCTCTCGGAGTCCGTGGAATTACCTTCTCTGTAACCTTTGCAGCA